TTATATTTTAAAAGATTTGGAATTTTTATTTTGAATTCTTTATAAAAACTGTATTTTTTATACAGAAATTTTAGGTATATTTCTTGAAAAAGTTAAAATAACATTTTAAACACAAATCTTTAACTAAAATCGCCCAAAAATTATTTTCATATCAAAAATAAGTGTTTTATGACTCGTATAACTTTTAAATAATTATAATATAATAATAATGAATAACTAAAAAATAAATTAGCCTTGTCAAAGCCACTTTTCATATTTTTTTAACCTTATTTTCCTAAATGTACACATGTATCTGCACACTTTTTGGACAGCCAAATTCTAAGAAGATATTTTTCAATTTGCAGAACAAAATTTGAAATAAATTAATCGTAGGAAATTTCGACATATATATATTTTTTTTTGTTTGCCTGTGACAGCAAGAATATTTTCCAATTTTCTAATACCACCCCTCACCCGGGCCACGTGCCGCAGAAAATAACAACAACAACAACAAAAAGTAGTATATAATAATAATAAGCTGGCACGTCCAAAAAACGAGTCCCACCTACGACAGAGGTTTGGATGTGTGACAAGTCCAAAAATCTCTTGTTTAAATCGAACGGATTTCTAGCGATTCAACCAACACGTGCCGAAGATCCAATAAAGCTGGAGACTTTCCATGGCCAAAAAAAAAACCCAAAAAAAAAACAAAGAATACAACTAATATTAATTGGCCAACAACTGTGGATGGGTAGTTCCAAGACTTGGCCAAATATTTGCCATCTTTTTTATTTGTTCCTATCTCGTTTTTTTTTTATATCTTATAATGTCTACAAATATAGATACATTTGTGTTGTGCTTTCAATAACAGAAATTCCGCATTTGAGAGAATATGCATGCGAATTGTGTTGACAAAAATGACACACCAATCTATTTATTCAGTTTAGAATTTAACAAAAACACAAAACCGTTAAGCAAACAACAAGTTAAATAATACGACAAATATTAACCCAGACCCCCATTACTTCGGCTCCAAAGTTCGGAATTTTTTGGGGAATACCAAGCAGATGTTCTGGTTAAAAAATAAAGTTGGCTAAAACTAAAACAAACTAAAAAAAAAAAAAAAAGAGATAAAGAAAGAAAAGAAAAGAATTTCGAACTGTGGGAAAACACGCAGCGAAAATGTGGCCAGCTAACGCGTGTGGGCCATAATCGGAACGTGTTTTTCGTAAAAAACTATCTTGAGGTGGACACAAAAAGCAGCTCACAGGTCTCTGAAATATTTTTGAAAACATCAATAAATTACAAAGTCAAGGAAATTATCAGCGACAGAAGCGTCATCATCAAAATTGCCTTGAAAAACAAAAACAAAACGCACGCAAAAGTTCAAAATACGTTTCAAAAATATATAACAAATTGATATATAAAAGTATGCGAAATAAAAGTCTTGTATGTATATAAAAATAAAACGAAATGTCCCCAGAAATATGCAAGCGAATTGTGACGTGAAATTGATTCAATTAAATCTTTTTATGACGTGACAATTGAATTCTATTTTCGCCTCTAATTGGAACTGATTGTAGTTTCGCCCCATCAACCCCGAACAAGATTCCGCAAACACACAAAAATACTACTACTATATGCTCTACTATATGATCTCTCAGCCTACTATATATTCGAATGTGTTTTTCGAGTACACTTGCACCCTTTCTATTTTCAGAAATGACGGAATATATACACAAATATCGCAATGGATCCAAAGAAAGTGTCATATGCCCCCCTGGACGGCCTGGCTTTCCTTTTCCCATTTTCATTTATCTTAATTTTTTGTAAATACTAGATGCTTTACCTTAATAAGAAGTATGACAGCATTTTAAATGATTTTTCTATAAGTGTGCAAAAATATGGCACACGTCCCAAGACATCGGTTAAAATCTATAGAAATCCGAATAAACATTTTGTTTAGACAATTAATTATATTATTTTAATGATACAATTATTTGTATACTGAATCTAAATTGCTTAAATAGTTGTCATTAAGTTATACAATGTACAAAAAAACATTGTATTTAAATGTGATTCAAGGTCATATAAATTTAGAAAGTTTTCCTTATAAGGTTTTGTTTTGTTTAATTATAGTTTTAATTAAATTAATTAGATTTTTTTTGCATTGAGAAATACGATTTAATTTTGATTTGAAATTGGTATTAAATAAATAAAAATATATCCCTTTCTTCTGATATTAAAACAAATATATTATAAATATATTTTTAAGTTAGAAAATACCCTTTCTGTGAGCTTGTATACATTATATATTATTATTTTTATATATTATATTTTTTTAAATATTTTTAAACCATATTTCCCATCTCACAACTACCCCTTCTCTTAGCCTCTATACTTTCTTTATATTTTTTTCAACCTTATTTAAGCTTAAATAATTGCCTTTGTAGATAAAGCTAAACAATTACCCAGGTTACTCATGACTGAAAATAAAAACAGCGTTGAGTTTTATATAAAAGGCATGACTTAATATCGGCACAAAAGATTTACTAGATTATAATACAAGATAAGTTGGCTGAAAGTTCTTGACTTGCCAAGTCAAGTCTTTTTCTTTATTTGGTAGTAGTATTAACTTACACAAAAGCGACTTATTGACATTCGTTAATCTGTGAGATTTCTTCCTACTCTTGATTTTTTTTTTAATTTCCTTTTTTTTTAATGCTTTTTTTTTGCATTAACCTCAGCCTGTTTGGCCAACGGCAACGTTGCCGCTTTTCAGCCAAGTTCATAGTACCCATCCATAAGCCCAACAACAAGTTGTGGGCCTAGCCCAAAAACTGGTTGCCCAATTGTCTTCCCCTGGCTGATCGCGAGGCAGCGATTGTTGCCGTTTGTGTAACTACTGCAACTGGGTGCACTGAGCGAAAAATTAATGCACTAAGATCAAAAATTTAAATGGGAAATTAGTTTTGAGATTTTTCTTAGAACAATATCGATTTTGATATTATAAAAATAAAATTTATAAAATGTATAAAATATAATATAAACTGACAACTTTGAGAGTAGCTTAATTTCACAGAAATTGTTATTGATCACGGACTTGGCTGTTTCAAGAAATATTCCCATATATTTGGCAAGGAATTAACTAAATATTATTTTGGAATAGATTTTACAAAGTCGATTTTATTTTTGAAAATTTATTTGAGGTTAAATTTAAGCTCAAAATTGAATAATTTAAATAGAAAACTGAGAAATTTTAAAAATCATATTTCAAATATTAAAAAAAATACAATAAAAACCCAAAATATAGAAAATAGTGGACCTTTTTATTAAAAATAATTGATATTTAGTAGATTTTTCGTTGCTTTATTTTAATTGTATTAAAACTATCTACGATTTTACGATTTTTGTTTGGAATTACTATACAAAGCCTAAATATAAATTATATTTTTTTTAAATTCAAAAACTTCCTTAAAAGAAATATTATTAAATCAGAATCAGCAATCTTTGACATAGAAACCCTTTAAAATTATAATAAAAATCACAGCAAGATTGTTTTCTCTTCAAATAAAACATTTTTTATTAAAAATTACTATTCAATATTTCGTTACAGTCTCTTATTTACAGTCTCAACTTTTTCGCCAAAAGATTCCACAAACATCTGGCTTTTCTCTCAGTGTAGTTGCCATGGCCGTGGCAGTAACGGGTTGTGCGGTAGGCGGCGTTGCCGCTCTTCACTCGTTCGGTGGCTGCTGAAAGAAAGTTGCACCCGCAACAAGCTAAAACCGCCCCCAGCCCCCCTGCCCAACCCCCCCGTGTTTGCAGCAGAAAAGAAAGCCGTTTTGTTTTAATTTTTTCCACAATTATTTTCCGCTAGCGCAGGAAAAATTATATGCTTTTATTTTTTTGTAATTTTTTTTTGCCTTTGTTTTTCGCTCTGTATGTGTTGTATGATTTTTTTCACAAAATGTTTTTGCTTTTTTTGTTTGTTTTGTTTTGGTTACAAATTTCTCACAATTATTTTGTTGGTTTTACGCAATAAAAAAACTTAACATTAAATACAATATATTTTTGTTTTTGCTTTTTGTTTGTAATAATAAAAAAAATTAATACATGTATTTTTTCGTATTTTGCTTGTTTATTTCTTTCTTTCTCTCTCGCTTTTTTGTGTAATAAATAGTTTTTTTTTCGCTTTGATAGATACTTTTTGCTGGTAATAGATACTTTCGTGTTTCGCATGTGTGTGGATGGTGTGTTGTATGTGTGTGTGTTTTTGTGTATTTGTGAGAACATTAAGTTTTCCTTGTTACGTTAATTGTAATTTTTACAAATTATATCGCATTGCATTTATTTTTTAGATTTTAAATTTAAAATTTTTTATTTGACGATCTCTGTGGATTTCTTTATTATCATTATTATCGCTGGCTACATTAAGGTTTTTAATTTTTTGTTTTTATATCGCAATTGGAGTTTTACACAGACAAAAAAATTTTACAAATTTTTTACGCTTTCACATTTACTGAGATATTTTCATTGCCTTAAACATTACGCTTGATTTTTTATTTTCTTGTAATTTTATTCTCTTTTTATATAGATTTTTTTTTGTTGTGAATTTTCTTTTGTATTTTTTAAATGTTTTATTTTTATATTTTTTTGTTTTTGTTTTTTTTAATGGTTTTGTTTTGTGTGTAGTACGCGCTAAACATTTAATAATATATAAAAATTTGTTAAAATCCTAAAATTTGTTGGTTTTAATTAATATTAATTAATAATTTAAAAAATTTTATTGCAGCAAGCTGCGTCTAACTAAAATTGGAGCGTGTGTTCTCATCCTCGCCTCCGCATCTTCCTCTCACTGGGACGAGACGGTGGATGGAGGGAGGCCTCTCTCAGTTTTAAAGTTAAATTTTAAATTTACCAAGATCAAGTTTGTTTGTTTTGTTGGTTTTGTTTTGTATTGTGTTTGTTGTGTGTGTGTGTTGTTTGTTTGTTTATTACCTATATAGCATACAATTTTTAAAAAAATCTGTTCACATTGAATCTTTTCTGATGTTTTATCGTGTGTTTTGTGTGTGTGGGGTGTGTGTAATGTGTAATTTTATCAACGTCCTCGGCCGGAATTGGTCGCCCCGGCCGGAGGACTCTTAGCATCTTAAACAGTATCACATATTCATGAGTTGTCGACCGGCGAGCCCCAAAATCGAGTGGGAGGGTGGAATGAATACACCCCCTCCTCGTGGGGCTGCCGTCTTTGAATTTCATGTTGGTTTTTTTGTTTTTTCTTTTAAACTCCGCTCGCTCCTCATCTTTTCGTTTCGTTTTTTGTTTTTTTGTTTTTCTTGCTTTTGCGTTTTGTTGAAAAAGGAGAAACAACTTAAAACTCTAGTTATTTTGTTTATAGCACTACGCATCTAAGTAAAATGGTGGTGAGAGTCACAATTACAAAAATCTTGGGCCTGGGCGGTCCCCTATATAGTATTAGTATGAGAGTGTGGTTGGCGTACCCTAATGTGTGTGTGTGTGTGTGGTGTGTATTGTGTGTGTGTGTGTGTGTGTGTAGGTGGGGTGGCTTCGAATACTTGCTTCGTTGTTGCTACTGCAACAAACTACTGCTCTCGATCATCACAGGGTTGGTGTTTTCCGCAGACATCCTCTGGACTGGACAGGAGGCGGCGGCTTCTACGTCCTCCTAGTTGGTGGGCGTGGCAATGGCCGCACTGGGCCGGCTATGAGCATGACTGCCAAAGCTATAGCTTCGCCTGGCACCCAAACCATCGGCAGAGTACAACTTATTCTTGGTAATCGTGTACTCCGGACTGATGGTAATCGTGCGGGCCAAGCTCTTCATGAACTGTGGGAGCAGCGACGTCCAGCCGCGATGGTCCTGACGCAGTGTTAGGTACACCTCAAAGGTGGACACCGTGTCGGGATCCACTTTGATTGAGGCAATGCGACGTGAGTTCTTGGGCTCATCCTCGAACTCAATGTAAATGGTGCAGCCGCGGATGCCGCAGGGTTCCTTCTCCGAAACACGGAAAATTTCCCGGGCCACGCTCGGCGTGAGATCACATGGTAGCGACACCTCTGTGCAGGTCAAATGGCGCGACTTGGCCGCCCTCAGCTCGTCCAGCAAACGCTCCGACAGCTCCTCAATGGCCTTTGTGTCGAGGGCCTGGGCATAGTAGCTATTATTGCTGTTGCTAACGATCTCCTCCTCGTCGCCATAGAAGAAGTTGCTGTTGTAGCTGCCGCTGGGCTTGGTCTTCTTGCTGCCGCTCGCATTTCCGCTGCTCGCTGGCTGCTTGTGCTTAATACTGTTGCTGCTGCTGTTGCTGCTGCTGTTGCTGCCACTGGTGGCAGTCTTGGCCTTCTTGGGCATAACAGCCACAGAGGCGGCGTTCTCCACGGTAACTGGCCGTGTCAGTGTGCTGGTCCAATCTAAAAATTTTAATAAAAAAAAGGAAACAATTGGTATAAGTAAAGGGTTTTTTTTAAAATAGTATTTTGTTAACTGTAAAATTGTAAAAAAAAAAATCGAATGTAAACATCTCTCTCGGTTGCCCAAATAACGAATCAAAAACGGAAAGCAAAAACAAACAACTAAAAGGCAATGAGCAACAGCCGCTTGGCAACAGCGAACGACAGATAAAAGCGGAACGGACAGACACACAAAGAGTGTGTGGAAAGGCGGAGGGCAAAGAGCCCAAAAAAAACGAAGCAAAGAAAACGAAAAATCATTTTTTATTGCTCTCTGCTGCTGTTGGGGGGGCGCTCCGGTTTTTTTGTTTCTTATTTTTTTACATTTTAATTTTTTGTTGCAATTTGCGTACGTGACCGTGTTGTTGCCTGTTTTTATGACATTTTTCTTTTGTAAGTGCAAATTGATTTTTTATGCATTTTTTTTTTTTTTTTTTTTTGTCATTGTGTAAATGTAAATTACAAATTTAATTGCCGAAGGGCTGATGAAATTTACAAAGAGGATTTCGAAGAGCAAACAGAAATAGGAAATGAAATAAACAGGAAATTTATTTAAATTTGAAACATGTAAAATAGTTTGAAAAATATTTCCAGAAACTTCCAGAAACATTTTAATAAAACACAAGCACTTTTCAAACTTAAAAAAAAAAAACTTCCTAATTTGTTTGGAAAAATATTTCTAGAACTTTTTCTTCTCTTCAAAAACTTACCTCTATTTTTGTTTGATCCCAGAACACTGCCGTAGATACTTTGCACGGTAATAACATCCATTTTCATTGGTTTTTCTGTGTGTTTTGTTTTTGCGGTGGAAAAGTCGAAATCGAATCAAATATCGTTCGAGTGTTCGTTCGCTTCTCTCTGCTCGTTTCGCCGACGGCTTTTTGTATCACTTTTACGTTTTAATTAATTAATATTATTTACTTTATCACAATTTGCTGTTTGTTTTTGCTGCTTGCTTTGCTGATTGCTTCGAATTTTATATTCTTTTCATTTATTTCTTGTTGTTGCAGTTTAAATTAACATTTGTTGTTGGTTGCTTGTTGGTTGTTGTTGGTTGTTGTTGTTGTTGTTTTGTAGTGGAAATCACAGCACTTATGTTGTTTAAACTTTTATTTGTATTATATTTTGTTGTATCACTTAAATGGCGTTGGTCCGTTGCATTTGTTTGATGGCAATTATTAATTATTTAATTATTTAGTAGTAGCATAGAATTCTTCGTGAAACAGTTTCTGGCTTTTGGATGCGGATGATGTGTGTAACAGTAGAAAATTTCTGGCTATGCACGTTTCTGCTGCTGCTGCTGCTTCATCGGTCTATCTTTTCTGGCTGTGAACCTCTTTCTTTTTTGGACTGTGTATTTTGTTTTCGAAGCTACTATGGGTTGCTCTGCCGGCGCGCGGCCTTATATACCCCACCAGCCCACTGCCGGCCTCTGCCGACGTCGCACTCCGACGGCGCTGGAAAGAGCAGTGGTGGTGGATCGCGCTCTCGCGACAGCAACAATTAGCAGAGAGCGCAATCTCCGCTCTCGCTCGCACTCATCTAGCTGGCCCCCTGTGCGGGTGCAGTGCGAGCGAGAGGGGAGACCATGATGGCTGATGTAAGTCGGCTGCCTGTATTACACACTCACTCATTCTCTCTCTCTCAATAGCCGTCGCTCTCAACAGCTGTTCCACTCGCAAGAGCAAGAGCATCGTCCGTCCCGCTCATGCGCACCTACAACCCGGCCGGCACGGCTCTCTGCCAAAGGCATACGTGACTTTTGCGAGTCCCACAAAAAAAAAGAGGCGCAGGAAAAGCCGAAAAGGAGAAAACCAGCAAAGGACGACGGCGACGGGGCGATGATGATGGAAATGTTCTCCCGCAAGGAAAAAAAAAACCAACCCTGCCATTACTGCGCTGCCGGCGTCGACGCGAGCAGCGACAGGCTGAAATTTTCCACTCCGAAACCGAAACTCAGTTGCAACTGGCAACTTGCAACATGCAACGGCAGCGGCGCTGTTGCCAGGCGCAAAAATGGAAACCAGAAAGCAGCTACCAGATACGAGATACAAGATACGAACGTATCTTTAGAATTTCCTCGTATTTTCCAATGCAAAATGCAAATTTTCCTGCTCTCTTCGCTGCGCGAAGTGAAAAGAACAAAAATCTCTAGAGGGAAAACCCGTCAAGTAGCGGGAAATGCGTACGAAAAACCTCAATCAAAGTGGCAGAAGTGTTTTTTTTTTTCTGATTTTTTGTCGGCAGATTTGAGAAAGACTGTTGGAAATTTGTTGATAAAAGTAATAGTTATTTATTTGTTTAATAAATTTTGTGAAAATAAAATATAAGAGTTTAAAATATCGAGTTTTTGGAAATTATTTTCAAGAAAAATTATGCAAAATTGTAGCAAGTTTCAAAATGATAAAAAGAAAACCATTAAATCCATAAAAATATAAGGAAATTGCGGTTTTCGTTGAAAAGGGAAATTCAAAATTTCAGATTTATTTTTTAATATGGTGAAATTATTATTTTTAAAGTGGTTATTCCATACCGGAAAATGAAAAACCAATAATATTTCACAAAATATATACAATATATATATATATATATATATATGGTTTTCATTTCCTGATTCAACGCCAAGTTATCTTATCTTTTGTGAAATGCAGCGAATAATATAAATTTTATGAAATTTCCGTTGCTTTAAATATTGTTTCAACATTAAATACAAGCATAAAATACATATATAGACATTTTTCCAGGAAACCCTAAAGTTTTTCACACAAATTTTCATTTCAAATCAATGACGAATTTCATCATAATTTCAAATTAAATATATGCTCGCCCTTGGGAGACCCGATTATGTGGTCATGTTCTTATGATAATCCCGAGAATTTCATCAGCAAATGAAAAGATATATGAAATAATTTCATATTCATATCATGATCTCTGGGGCTGTGTGTCCTTTCCTTTCAATTGAATGCATTTTCCTGCCATCTTCAGTCTCTATATGTTTTTTATATTCATCTTCTGTCGTGTGTTCTGTTGCCATTGTTGTTTGCTGACCAAAAGCTGAGGAGATGATGCTGCACGTAGATTGAAAACGAAAGATTGAAATGTATCTCATGAATACACCACACACTCGCACGCAGGCTACTCCTCCGCCTCCTCCTACTCCTCCTCATCGCCCGGATCCAACTTGTCTTGATGCTGGCTCAAATAAATAAAATCAAATTTCCTTCAGATTGAAATGAAATTCCATGAAACACAACGCATTTGTATTGGTGAATGGGAGTACACGCAGAAAAAATGTGTATTAAATTTATTAAACAATTTATATATTAGTAAAAGATTTATATAAAATTAAAAAAGCCTTAAATAATAAATTTAAAAATACTTTTAATATAATTTATATTTAAAATTCTTATTTACAAAAGATACTTGGGAATTATAAGTGATTTAATTGAAGTTTTTGGTATAAAATGTATTTATTTTTAATAAAAAGGCAGTCAAATATTAATTTAAAATTTAGAAAGTTTTGAATAAATTATATTTAGTAAAATTGCTGCCATTAAATTACTAGTTTCTACGAATTTTATTGAATTTTTACTAAAAAAAAAAGCCTTATCCAAAAAAGAGACTTGGGAATTATAAGCGTTTTAATTGACTTTTTATTTTTACGAGTAAAAAAATGTATATACATTTTTAACTGAAGTTTAAAAACAAACTGAATAATAAATTTAATTTAAATTTACATTTCTTATTGTATTTTTATATCTATTTTTTTTCTCTTGTGTAAATTTTGAAAATCTCACTCATCTATATGTGCGTGGCCGCCTGTATCTTTAGGATATCTATCGTGGCACATTAGCTTTATGTTTGCATGTAGATGTGTTTTCTCAGATAATAAATGAATTGAAACGAGAACTTCTTTTGTTTGTTTCCCTTGACTTTGGCACATTGCAAAATGATTTCATTGATAACCTGAGCGCGGGTCTTTGAAATTTCGCAATCTTTGAAATGTGACCCATACTCAGTCCATCACCCTCCCCCCACTCCTAGAAGCTCTAATGGGGCGTGGCAGCTGGATTGATTAGCAGAAACGGCATCGAAGTTGGCCGTAGAACCGGCCTCTCAAAAATTGCGAACAAAGAACTGTGATTCAGGTTGGTGGGGTTAATGATCAGCGAAATTTATAGCCTGCCTAAGATATTCGCACGGGTCTTTATTTGTTTATTGGCCAGGTGTTTATTTATTTCAGTTAATAGAAAATATCTGACGACACTTCCTTCAGATCTTAAAATTATATGAGATACTTTCCTCATTAGAAATTAATTCTTATTTAGATATTAACAAGAAACCAATATCTTTTCAATCTGAAAATACCTTATTCAAAACAAATTTTCTTTGATTACTCAATTTGCATTATCATAAACAGTAAAACGGACTTTAATGTAAAATAATTTAGATTTTTTGCCAACAATTTCGCTGGGTAAATCAATCAACTTTTGAGATTGAAATCCACTTTCCAAACTGTTTCCTTTGTGACTTTGCGATACATCACAGCCATGGCACATGTATTATATATATATAAGTGTGTGTTTGTATAGAGAACTTTCCCTCGATGGCGGTGTGTTCTCTCTGCTTTTCCGGGAAAGCAATTTTCACAAAGTTTATGCTTTGGCTTTCGCTCTGGCAGCGGCATGGCCCCCTCGAAGGCAATTTGTAAATTTAAATTAGTTTTACTAAACACAACACATTTTCACCCCGGCACACACACACACACATATGCATAAATTTTCATTAAAAAAAATATACATATAAGAAAAGAAAAGCAAGCGGGGCCAGAACGTGTGCAGAACCCAAGAAAATTATCAAGAACAAGTTGCGGGTTTTTCTTTTCGTTGCTTCCCAGAAACGGGCGGCAGGTGAAAATCAACCTACAAAAAAAATCTCTAAAAAAAATCACCTGAAATTGTGAGCAAATTATCTACTTATCTATCGCAGGGAGATCGTCTTAAATATGTAGCTACAAACCTATGACTAGCACAAATTCGGCAAGTTCATTGTGCCGGGGGATACATAGGTACTCTCCAGATACAGATATATTTCCGGGCTGCCAGCCAAAGTTAATGCCAAGGAATTTATGCCAATTAATTTATGGCTTTATGAAATGGAAATGGACAACAAATCGCGATAAGCTAATTTGATAAAGGTGTTTCGATCGATCCCAAAGATAACGATTGCGATTTGTGCAATTGAAAGGCGAAAATCAGCAGATAAGTATAGCTGACGTGGCAGAGGAATATATATTTTACTTATTTTTTGTTTATTACATTTTTTACTATAAGAAAATGTTACAAATTAAAATTATAAACGTTTTATTAAAACACTTATTTTTAGTAAAAAATATCAAAATATATCTTAGCCTTAAAAATCAGTGTTTTTTTAATATTGTTGTTGGTAAATAAAGTTAATATTCATATTTTATATTTAAACCTGTTTTTTACTATAAGAAAAACCTTTCTTTGATACATTTCAATCTACAATGACAAATATCTTTTCTGGCAAACGAAAAACGGAATTCAGAAATCAAAACAGCATGCATGGCGCCATCTAGTGAGCAGAGTTTCCATAAGAAAGAGAACTATGCCGAAAAAATTACTTATAAATCAAAAATAATTGAAAAAAAACTCTTTTAAGAATAAAAAATTTAGATAAATATTTTTTTATATTAATTTTTAATATATCCAATATTCTAAGCTAACAAAATACCAACAACTTATATAATAAATCAGTTTAACAAATAAATATATTACTTTTTTATAGCCGGAAAAAAAATTAAAATTTAATAATATATTCAGGTAAATTTTAAATTAATTTAAAATGTAAAAAAAGATACCCAAATAATAAAATAAATGTATCTGTATCTTTTTCTGGCAAACGAAAAACTCAAAACCAAAACGGCATGCATGGCGCCACCTAGTGACCAGAGTTTCCATAGCGGCGGCGACGTGACCGGCTGAGCGTGCGAGATGTGACAGTTTTAAGAGAAGCAAAAATACAAAAAAAAAATTAAATTTAAAATAAATACAACAAGAAAAATTCAACAAAATTAACAACAAGAATAAAAGACAGATTTCTTCTGAGATAAATGGGCAGCATTAGAACCGAAATTAGATTTCAATTGAATTGCGTTGAAAAGTGTCCCACGGATGCATAATTGATTTATGCAAAAAGTGGGAAAACAGGGAAAGCTGCCGGGGAAAACTCAGAACTGAGAAGTGGACTTGAAAAAACAGGGCAACCGGCAAAAGTTTTCACCAAATAAAACTGTGCAAATGCAAATTATACGTTTATTTATGTACATAAGGAGGTTATTTTTCGGCAA